GGCGGGGTTGTGGGGAAAAAGGAACCCTTCTCCACTGTTGGTGGGAGTGTGGACTGGTGCAGCCACTGTGGAAATCAATATGGTGATACATCATAGAACTAGGACTAGAGATCTCTTTTGACCCAGCTACTCTCCTGCTGGGTATCTTCTCAAAAGAATGAAAATAATCATACCATGGTGATATATGTGCATACATGTTCCTAGCAGCAGTTTGTAATAGCTAAAACTCGGAAACAGCCCAGTTGCCCATCATCTGGAGACTGGTTAAAGAAAATGTGTGTGCTTTTTAAAAAATAAAATAGAATACTACTTAGCCACAAAGAATGAGGAACTGCCGGCACCTGCTTTGCAAGCGCAAGGACCCAAGTTTGATCCCCGGTACAAAAAAAAAAAGTAAGAAACTAGAGACATTTATAGCTAGATGGATGTACATTGAAGTGATCTTAAGTGAAATAAATAGGACACGTGTAAATACTGAATAATTTCGCTGTCTTGAGAAGCTGAAAGTGTAAGTAAGGATCAAAATGTATAACAGATAATGTGAAATAGGAAGAAAAGGTGCGCAGGGGAAGGGGAAGTGAGAGGAGTAGGGGAAAGGAAAGAAGGGAAAAGAATGTGAAAAAATGGAAACAAAGTCTTTGTAAATAGGGTTGGAGGAGTTGAAGGGAGAGCAGGGGAATAGGGGAAAAAATAAGAATCAAGATGTATTATGTAAAGCTACAAGATCCCAATGATGAATGTCATTATATTGTATACCTGAAATGTAACAATAAAATTAATGTAAAAAAATTACAGCTTTTAGTTGTTTTCTTTCTTTCTTCCTTTTTTTTTTTTTTTTTTTTTTTTTTTTTGGTACTGGGGGATCAGACTCGGTACCTTGCTCTTATCCCCGGTCCTTGAGTTGGTTTTGAGAAGACATATTTTTCATGTGAGATATTGTGAAACACATATTTGGTCTTTATCCCTACCTCCTGGCATAGGACTTCTAAAACCTTTGGGATCTCCAGAATGATCTCTGTTTGGATGCTAATGAGTTGAATGTGGCTGGCAGCCCCAAGGGTTAGGGTTAGGGAATGATGGGTTTAGGACAAAGTAAGGATTTGGGCAGGATGGGGTCTTATCTCCTGAAAGACTAAGGTAGCATTAAGGGTTGGGACTTTCAAGCCCAGTTTCCCAATCTTCAGCAAAGGGAGGCAGCTTGCAAGTTGTCAGTCACCCACTGTCACTGATTTAATCAGTCTTACTTATGTAATGAAGCCTTTGTAAATCCAGAGGGACAGAGTTGAGAGAGCTTCCAGATAGCAGAGCATGTGAAGATTCCTGGGCTCACATACCCAGAAAAGACAAGGAGGCTCTGGGTCCTTTCTCCCATCCCTCACCCTGTATATTTCTTAATGTGTATCTTTTGTATCTTTTATAATAAACTAGTAAATGTGAATAAATACTTCCCCGAGATCTGTGAGTTGCACTGGCAAATTGATTAAACCTAAAGTGGGACTTGTGAGAACATTGATTTTTTTAGTGGGGCAGAAGTGCAGGTAACATGACCTGGTGATTGGCATCTGAAGTAGTTGGGAGAGTCTTTTGGGACTGAGCTCTCAACTTGTGGGATCTGATGCTATCTCCAGGGGGATGATTTCAGAACAGAATTGGATTAGAGGACACTCAGCCAGTGTCTCTTGGTGGAGCGTAGCTTGCTTGGTGAATGGGTACAAATCCCCATAGTCAGTACCTGCTGTCAGAAATGTGAGTTGTGTACGGTACAGTATACCTTTAATCCCAACACTTGGCAGGCTGAGGTAGGAGGATCTGGAGTTTGAGGCCAGCCTTGGCAACTGAAAAAAAAAGTGCTGCAAACACGGGAGAAACTGACCCCCCCATTTTTTTCCACATGTTTTCAGATTATCTCATTTTTCAATGAAAAAGTGTCTTGGCTCTTCTTAGATATGAACTCTTCAGATAATCTTAAGAACCAAGTACTATATAAAACAAATCATGGATTTTGACAAGAATTAAACTGAAGGTACAGAGAACTGACATTTTAGGAATACAGACATATTTCCAGTATTGAATATTCTCAATAACCTACATTTACTCACATTTGTCTGAAAGTCTTACCCGTTTCATCCTGTTTATTTTTAAGTATTTTATAGATTTTGTTGCCATCACAAAACAATGTTTTCCCCTTACATTTTCTAGTTGGATATTGTTGCAGGCTTGCTTTATGAAATTTCCTATCATTTCTAAGCTGACCATGGTGGTACTCTCCTGTTAGTTCTAGCTGTTTGCAAGGCTGAGGTGGGAGGATCATTTGGACACAAGTGTCTTAGATCAGGCTGGGCATTGTAGGCCCCATTTTAAAAACAAAGACAAAACAACAAAATTCCAAGGTTAGAAATAGAAGCATCCTGGGCCAGGGATTTAGCTCAGTGGTTCCGCCACCTGCCTTGCAAGTGCAAGGTACTGAGTTCGATCCTGGTACACCCCCCCCACCCCCGCCAAGAAAAGGAAATAGAAGCATCCAGTCTTCCAATTCCTTTTAGCTGTAATGATTTTTCAGTCCATCCTCTTGACTTTTCTAGTGGACAATAACAATAACTTTTTACCACTTTATTATTGATATTTAGACACAGTATCTTTCTTCTGTTGTTTTGTGGCCAGAACATCTGGTCGAGGTTGGGGGGCAGTGGTCTGATCCTGGGAATTCTGCTTGGCTAGGGTTTACTGAGAGTAGGTTTCAAAGTAGCCACAGCATGACGTACAACATTACCAGGTAAGGGTAGGGGTTAGGGTTGGAGATTGGTTTCCAGGTAGGCCTTGAGAGAAGCAAGGCAGCCTTCAGTGAGGCAGAGAATGACTAGTGCATAGGACAGGTGAGGTTTGGTGGTGAACCTTTGGCATGTGTGCCACAGTGGACTGTTTGTATTGTTACGGAAAGAATTGGCAAGTGACACAGAAAGGCAGCAGAATGGAAGTAAAATAAGTTTACTCCATGGATGGGGAATCGATGCCACCTAATGACGGTGCCCTGATTCTCCACTGGGTTACAACTCCTTCTTTTATAGGGTTTTACATCCTTGATCTCATTCAGTTGTGTTACATTGGATTTTCACAGTTCACATTGCTGATATTCAAAACATCTTGGGGAGGCAGTTGAATTTCAACCGGATGCAGTTCTTTGTTAGGGGAGGTTACCTTTAAGAGTTATCTTTTCTAGCCAAGGGGAAGGGAGGGTGTTTGGTCAATAAAGCTAACAATGGCTCTTTTAATTTACAAAACTTTTGAGGGAGACTAGATAACTTCCGGTGCCTTTTAATTCTGAACTAAACAGAGCTAAGTGCAGAAGTTATTTTACATTGTGACATTTCCTAGATTTTCACTATTAAAGTTTTCCCTATCCTAACTGGGTTAGGAGAAGCAGAGGATGGATGAAAGTCAGGGCTTAGTCAGGAGCTGCTAGGCTTTAGGGGCAATTATTTTAGTCAGAGTAATTGAGAATTGAATGAAAGGTGTGTTAGGCAAAATGGCCCCCTAACCAGACCCCAATCCCTGGAACCTGTAAATACGTTGCCTGACATACCAAAAAGGAACTTTTAAAATGTAATAAAGGATATGGCCCTTTATAGACAGATTATTCTAGATTATTCAGATGGGCCCATGCAATCACTTTAGCCCCCCAAAAGCAAAGAAACTGGCTGGAAGCAGAAGCGAGATGCTATAGAAGGATAAATTGGAGAGTTTCAAAGAGAGGTTTAGCTTGTCTTGGAGAACCATGTGGAAAGTCAGAGAAGATCTATAGGGATAATAAAGACTTGGCCCCTGTCAGATAAACCAGCAAGGAAATGGGAGCCTCAGCCCCACAGCTGCAAGCACTAAGTTAAGTCAATAGCTAGAATGAGCTTAAAGTATATTTGAAAAGGAATACTGACGCTCAACAACTAGGCCACACACACACTGAGAGGTCCGACTGGAGATTTTATTAAAGGGGTGGGAGGACAGAGAGCAAAGAGAAAGAGCAGAGAGAGAGAGAGAGAGAGAGAGCAGAGACAGAAAAGAGGAAGAGGAAGAGAAGAGGAGAAGAGAACAAAGACAGGAAGGTCCTTTTATTGGTTTGGGGCTGGGCTATTGCTTATTCATGAGGAGTGGGCTACTTTTAACCTATCACAGGCCAGGTTGTCTTTTATGGGTTCAGCCCTGCAGAAACAGGTTTCAATTTCTCTGTCTCGCTGTGGCCTTGGTGGGAGGGAAACTAAAGATAAGGACATGAGGTCATTTTAGGAGCCAAGAAGTACCAGGAGAATTCAGCCTGTGCTGCTGGCAGCATCACAGAATACTTTAACATGATCAATTCCCTAACAATATTCTCTAGAGCCTCCCGAAAGATGCCCAGCCCTGCTGTCTCTTGGTTTTTGAGTTGTAAGACTCCCAAGCAAAGGAACTCGCTCAGCCACACTATACCCAGACACTGGCCTTTGGGACACTGACGATAAATCTGCATTGGTTAAACTGTTAGGTGTTCAGTACCTTATTTCAGCGCAGTAGAAAACTATTACAAAGGACTTTGACCAGGGAAATAACATTATCAGATTTTGTGTAATTAAAATATGACTGTGTGCTGTGTGTAAAATGAATTTGGAGAGTGTAAATTTGGAGGCAGGGAAACGTGTTTGTAGGAATACAGTGATGGCATGGACTAGGTTAGTGATGGTGGGAAGGGAACATGATTTGAGACTTATTAGGGAGGTCACAGTGCCAGAACTTGGTCACTGGCTGGATGTTGAGGACAGAGGAGGATGCAGGGACGACTGCTGATTTCTGTCTTGGGTGCTAGATGAAGCTGTCTCTTGAGATGAAGATGAGTGGGTTGGAAGTTACCATTTCATGATTTTAGCAGTTCTTCATATGGAAATTCTCTCCATAGATATTTATCATAAAGTAGAATATGTCAGTAACATGATTGCTTTAACTTCTAAGACCTTTTTTATTTTTATTTTTTATAGATCATGTAGACGATTGTAAATCATGTGAAGATGGGACTCTTGGTATTTGTGCGCAATCTGCTGCTAGCCCTCTGCCTCTTTCTGGTACTGGGATTTTTGTATTATTCTGCATGGAAGCTGCACTTACTCCAGTGGGAAGACTCCAGTAAGTATAGTCGCGCTAGCCCATCCCGGTAACAGCCTGCTGCAGGTCGGTTAGGGTTTGTCCTGCAGCTGCAGTGCTGTCATGTTCTTCAGAGATGGGCAGTGAGAGTAATCTGAACACATCTCTAGCTTTAGGTTAGAAATTGCCTACCATTTTAGTTGCTGTAGGCTGAAAGCGTCTTCTTCTTCTTTCTTTCTTTCTTTTAACTGCATGCCATGGCAAATCTTAATTCTTTTTATAAATTCTGAACACATCTCTAGCTTTAGGTTAGAAATTACCTACCATTTTAGTTGCTGTAGGCTGAAAGCGTCTTCTTCTTCTTCTTTCTTTCTTTCTTTTAACTGCATGCCATGGCAAATCTTAATTCTTTTTATAAGACCAGTGAGAATGTGCTATTCTTCAATCAAAAACCCACACTACACCCATACTTCTAGTACTTGAAGGTTTTTGTTCTTTTTAATTTCCATAGTGTATTAGCACCCTGATTTCATGTTTATTGCCTTTGGATTTGGTGCTGAAATTGTTTTTTCTTCTGCCCTCAAAACATCTTTACTTTTTCTTTGAACTTTCTATTTTCATTTTAATATTATTTTTGTTTTATTTTATTAAATGAAACTTTGTCTTCTTAATATTTAGTATTGAACCTGCACCTAACTAGAATACTGGCTTTTCTCTATTTTAGTGACTCTTACTCCCTTTCTTCCATTTGTGCCTTTGGTCTCGTGTTTCATAGTGTTTCTCCCATAGCCTGACCCCCCTGACTTTTTTCTGTTCAGTCAGTGTTCCTTATGTGACAGACTTGAACATGAAGGGTTGGCATTGATGGCTTGTACCTCCTGTTCTTGGCTGTAGCTTGAAAGTAGTACACAGTGATCATAAGTGTTTTCGTTTGGCTATTTTGTCTAATCTGAGCTTGGTTCAGGATACACTGTGTGACCTGTCCTGATTCCTATTGACTTGTCTTATTTTAAGTAGTTTTGCATACTAGTGTAGAACCCACTTGAGTAGTTTTTCTAGGCCTCAGGTTAAAATGAGTTGGAAGAGGCAACTGGCACTGGCCTGCCACTGGACTGAGGCCCTAACATGGAAATTATTCCTGTAAAATAGTTCATTTATTTCTCATGGCCCAAACTACTTAGCCACGTTTTAAAATATAGTATCTTGACTTTTATTGTTTTACATGGAATTTTTAAGTGCCTTTTAAATGTTTAGCTTATAATTATTGCTAATTACTTTATATTTCAAGAGTGTATTCAAATTTCTCTGCACTTTTTGTTTGTTTTTTTGAGACAGTGTCTCACTGTATAGTCCAGTCTGGTCTTGACCTTGCTGTGTAGAGCTGGTTTTAAACCCCTGCTTCTCCTGTCTAGCCTTCCAAGTGATGGGAATACAGGCATGTGTCTCTACATCTGGGTTTGCTTATTTTTAAAGTCAAGGAAACTACCCCATGATAAGGAGCCATTTGAGCCAGGCTCTGTATTAGAGGCATTCTCTGTATGCAGAATGGTGATTCATCTGTGTAGAAAATGTATACTAGGAACAGAGGTCTCCTTTCCTGAAGAAGATACAATAAAGACTCAGATAATATTTTCCCAGGAAGGGAAAGAAATTAACATCGTGGAAGATCCATTGTGTGTTAAGTATTAGGCTACATAATTTATAAATTTTATTTCATCTGATTTAATTCTTGCTGATTTAATTCTGTGAAGATGTCATTATATTCCCATTTTCCAATTGAGCAAACTGCAGCATTTAGTTTAACTGATGTACCAAAGTTATACAGCTAATTATCGGAACTAGAGTTGAACTCTGAATTTCTAGCTTTAAAACCCACGTTCATTTTGGGGGAGAAGTATAATAAATAATTAAGACAATTATCTATTCTTCCTGCTAAAAAGAGAGAAAAGGGGCTCAGAGAAGAGTGTCAAGAGGAGGGTGGAGAAAGGAAAATAGGCGGGAGAGAGGAGGAAAGACCTTCAAAAGGAGACTTGAGAGGTTTATTACTTTGCGAAGTAACCAGATGTTGTTAACAAGTGTTGTATGTGAGCTTCAGTGGTTTATATTAGTTCCCTGCTGTCTTTAGCATTCTTAGCTGACTTACTAGTGCTCATAGCTTTTCTGTTATCCTGTCTCTCAAGCCTCTTAGATGTTTAATTTTGAGTAGGTTATTTTCTGTAGTATTATTTTGTTTGCTTTAATATCAGGACAGAGGAAGAGGACCAACCCTGAATGGCTTACCAAGTCAGAGTGGGTAAAACAGATTCAAGCAGAAGGAGCCTCTGGACCCAGAGGACTGCTGCTATGTTGTGAATTTTAAGCTATCATTTAGTAATATTGAAGATGATGACACTACCCTTTTTCCTGAGGACCTTAGAGGACACTTTCAAGTTTGAAAACTAAAAATCTTTAACATTATGAGGTACTTTTTCATCTTTTTTTATAACAATAAAATTATGTATTGAATTCCTTCATGATGAGAAAGGAAACAAGTTTTAATTACTAGATTATTTATTCAGTAAGTTGCATGTTCCTGTTATGGTCCATGTACTGTCTCAGGTAAACAGGATATAGATGAACATACCCGAACATACTCAGTGTGATTGAAATATATAATGAATGTTTATATTTTTGTTTTTTTTTTGTTTTTTGAGATAGGGTCCCACTGTGCAGTTCATGCTGGCCTCGAACTTACAGTGATCCTCCTGCTTCAGTCCCTTGAGTGCTGGGATTACAAGAATACTCCACCTGGCCTGCCTTTAAATTTTAAAAATTTATTACAATAAAAACACATTGCCAGCTGGGCGTGATGGCTCATGCCTATAATCACAATGTTCAGGAGGCTGTGTTGTGGAAGGAATTTGCAAATGACACACAGAGAGGCAGCAGAATGGAAGTAAAATAACATTTACTCATCGATGAGGGTCGATCACACATAAGCAGTGTCTGGATCGATGACACACTGGGTTACAACTCCTCCTTTTATAGGGTTTTACAGCCTTGACTTCATTTGGGTGGTTACATTTCATTTCCTCAGTTCATATTACCCGTATACAAATTACAGTAACAAGACAGTTCACTTTAACCCAGATGTAACAATTCTTTGTATTTGGGGAGTTTACCTTAAGATTCGTCTAGCTGTCTATTCTAGTGCACAGAAAGGGGGTGTTCAAGGTCAGGGATGAGGCCAGATGTCCCACTTCATGGTCAGTGCTTCCAGTGTTTGTTAATTTTGAACTAAACAAAGCAGGTTGCTTTTAAGAAACCGAAGAAGTCATTTTACATTTTCCTAACATTTTGTAGGTTTTCAGATTATTAATGAAAGTTCTTTCTATCATTCTTCCCTTTGTTTTTGGGGTAATTCCTTACCTCTCACTGAATTCATACCAGTTATATCTAATGGGTAGCTGAGTAAGGAGTACATAGTAAGCTTTATTGCTCTAAGGGCTGGTCAATCATATGCCATTTGCCTGATAAGTCATCATGGTGAGTGGTGCACAAATCCAGTAATCATAGTCTAATTCCTGGTCTGTCTGTAGCAGCTGTGAATGAATTCCATCAATGAAATCCATCATTTCTATTTCTGTATAATTATTTGGATGTCCTCTTAAGTTTTTTGTTTTGTTTTGTTTTTTTCTTGAGACAGGGTCTCACTATGTAGTTGAGACTGACCTGGAACCCATTAGGTAGCCCAGGCTGATCTTGAACTCACAGCGATCCTCCTGCCTTAGCCTCCCAAGTGCTGGGATTACGGGAGTAAGCTACCACGCCCGGCTCCTCTTAAGATATTTTGTGTTTCCTACAGCACAGGCATTTTTTTGTATTTCTGGAGGGGGGCTCTTCCAGACCTTTTTAATCTGTAGAATCCATCTCCTTAATCTCTGAGGCCCATGCCTAGCAGTTGACTGATATCTAATATAAATATAAAAACTATTTTTTGTAACCAGCTTGTATTTCAAAGCCAAGCTATATACATTTTTAAAGGGTTACATTGTCCCTTTTTACAGGTATCACAATTTCCAGTACTTCTGGTCACAGTAGAACTGTTTAACCATATTTGAGTTTTATCTGAACAATACATCTTTTTTTGTGTAAATCCCCCATAGTCAAGTATGGCACCAGGGTTTCCATAATGGACAGGCATCTTTTGGACAGGCATCAAAAAGAATCATGAGAGTATGTCCCTCTGGTTCCCATTTAACAGTTTCAAAGGTCAGAAAATTTTTTTCAAATTTGTTTGAAAAATTTTTTTATTAAATTTATCATGTTTAGGTTTATAAACTCTTAATTCAAAAACAGAATAACTGGGCCATGGATTTAGCTCAGCAGTTCGGTGGCCTGCCTTGCAAGTGCAAGGACCCAAGTTCAGTCCCCGGTACCAAAAACAGAATAACTCATAACCATTTGACACAATAAAAGAGTCCATAGTATCTTGATTGCAGTCCTCATTTTTTAGCTATGCGTGAACTCCCCAGCTTCTGGTGTGGTGAGAGCAGGCTTTGAGTGTGCTGTCTCCTGGAGTCGCAATCCATGGAGTTCTCTGGATATGTTTGCTTCATTTGAGAGTGGTGAATCCACAGTTGAACTTCAGCCACCTTGACAGCTGTGGGAGTAACTGTAAGTGCCTCATATAGATTGCAAAGGAGTCTTTTTCCAATTTTTAACATAAATCCAGTCCCCTGTCTTTATCAAATGGGCAGGGGTTAGAACAGGGAGAACCTTTTTATCTGAGTATTTTATAACACCTAGGGGCCTTTTTATCTCCATAGGAAGTTTCTGTTTAGCTGACTTTCTGACTTCTATATCTGCCTTAGCATTGACTTTTGCTGTTGCGTCTTTTCCTTTTTGGTGTCCAGAGCAATGCATTACTGCTATTTTATCAGGTTCCCACATTGTTTCCAATAATTGTAGTATTTCCTGTTTATTTTTAGTCTTGATTGCCCTCCACTGTGAGAAGATCATGCCGTTTATATGCCATGAATATATAGGGTAGCAAAGGCATA